TGATTTTAGAACGGACCGTTCCACATGAAATAATAACACATGAATAACGAATCAGAATGGGCCATTCCAGATTCAAAAATAACACATGACCAGTTAAACCAGAACGGGCCGTTCTGAATTCAAAACGGGTTGTTCTAATTACATATTTGTCATAAGAATTTTTTTAGCAAAATAATATTTTTTTTTCATTCTACTAAATTACATTTAAAATTTAAGTATAGTTTTTCAATTGATAATGTTTTTCTATTAGAATTAGAGGTTTACATTAATTATATGCGTAAATTTCTAATTCTAATTAGAAAATAACAACAAACAAAATTTTCTATTATAAATATAATTTTCTCTCATTTAAATCATTGCAAAAATTTGTCAGTTTTAGTTTTATATCTCAAAATTTTCCTCTTAAAAAAATGATGTTACCAAATATTTTTAAATTTGATTTATATAGTTTAATTGTTTTTAAGGTGCATAGACTTTCGTGGTTTTGTTGCCAATGTAACAAACATTAGGCGTTGATTAAATGTCACCTAGTGTAACGAGAGATACTCATTTTTTGTTTGGATTTGCATTGAGTGCTAATGTATGTGGCGTTAAACATAAGTTAAACAAAGGCCCTCTGCCTAATTAGGGTCGGACGTGAGTTTTGTCATACCAGACACGAGAGAATAGGAGACTTTTTACCTCAATGACATTAGGTGCGGGTAGTTTGGTACTAAGTGTGAGTGAGATATGAAGCCCCTTCCTCAATGACATCAAGCATCCTATGAATGAAGTCCAAAACTAGGCCTAATAAGTTTAAAACCCAAAAAGTCTTATAGTGAGGCCTATAATACAAGACCAAACAATATAAACTCCTATAATACCAAAAATATGAGAAAGGTGGTCATCCATGTAAAACCCAAGTAAAGAGAACCATAGGCCTACCAAACCCATAGGGCTCATTGAGCTCAAAAGCAGTCAAAAGCCCAAAGGCCCATGAAGTCCAAAATTAGGCCCAATAAGCTTAAAACCCAAAAAGTCTTATAGTGAGGCCTATAATACAAGACCAAACAATATAAACTCCTATACTACCAAATATACGAGAAAGGTGGTCATCCATGTAAAACCCAAGTAAAGAGAACCATAGGCCTACCAAACCCATAGGGCTCATTGAGCTCAAAAGCAGTCAAAAGCCCAAAGGCCCATGAAGTCCAAAATTAGGCCCAATAAGCTTAAAACCCAAAAAGTCTTATAGTGAGGCCTATAATACAAGACCAAACAATATAAACTCCTATACTACCAAATATACGAGAAAGGTGGTCATCCATGTAAAACCCAAGTAAAGAGAACCATAGGCCTACCAAACCCATAGGGCTCATTGAGCTCAAAAGCAGTCAAAAGCCCAAAGGCCCATGAAGTCCAAAATTAGGCCCAATAAGCTTAAAACCCAAAAAGTCTTATAGTGAGGCCTATAATACAAGACCAAACAATATAAACTCCTATACTACCAAATATACGAGAAAGGTGGTCATCCATGTAAAACCCAAGTAAAGAGAACCATAGGCCTACCAAACCCATTGGGCTCATTGAGCTCAAAAGCAGTCAAAAGCCCAAAGGCCCATGAAGTCCAAAATTAGGCCCAATAAGCCTAAAACTCAAAAAGTCTTATACTAAGGCCCATAATACAAGACCAAACAAGATAAACGCCTATACTACCAAATATACGAGAAAGGTGGTCATCCATGTAAAGCCCAAGTAAAGAGAGCCCTAGGCCCACTAAACCTATTGGGCTCACTGAGCTCAAAAGCAGTCAAAAGCCCAAAGGCCCATGAAGTCCAAAATTAGGCCCAATAAGCCTAAAACTCAAAAAGTCTTATACTAAGGCCCATAATACAAGACCAAACAAGATAAACGCCTATACTACCAAATATACGAGAAAGGTGGTCATCCATGTAAAGCCCAAGTAAAGAGAGCCCTAGGCCCACTAAACCTATTGGGCTCACTGAGCTCAAAAGCAGTCAAAAGCCCAAAGGCCCATGAAGTCCAAAATTAGGCCCAATAAGCCTAAAACTCAAAAAGTCTTATACTAAGGCCCATAATACAAGACCAAACAAGATAAACGCCTATACTACCAAATATACGAGAAAGGTGGTCATCCATGTAAAGCCCAAGTAAAGAGAGCCCTAGGCCCACTAAACCTATTGGGCTCACTGAGCTCAAAAGCAGTCAAAAGCCCAAAGGCCCATGAAGTCCAAAATTAGGCCCAATAAGCCTAAAACTCAAAAAGTCTTATACTAAGGCCCATAATACAAGACCAAACAAGATAAACGCCTATACTACCAAATATACGAGAAAGGTGGTCATCCATGTAAAGCCCAAGTAAAGAGAGCCCTAGGCCCACTAAACCTATTGGGCTCACTGAGCTCAAAAGCAGTCAAAAGCCCAAAGGCCCATGAAGTCCAAAATTAGGCCCAATAAGCCTAAAACTCAAAAAGTCTTATACTAAGGCCCATAATACAAGACCAAACAAGATAAACGCCTATACTACCAAATATACGAGAAAGGTGGTCATCCATGTAAAGCCCAAGTAAAGAGAGCCCTAGGCCCACTAAACCTATTGGGCTCACTGAGCTCAAAAGCAGTCAAAAGCCCAAAGGCCCATGAAGTCCAAAATTAGGCCCAATAAGCCTAAAACTCAAAAAGTCTTATACTAAGGCCCATAATACAAGACCAAACAAGATAAACGCCTATACTACCAAATATACGAGAAAGGTGGTCATCCATGTAAAGCCCAAGTAAAGAGAACCCTAGGCCCACTAAACCTATTGGGCTCACTAAGATCAGAAGTTGTCAAAAGCCTAAAGGCCCATGAAGCCCAAAACTAGGCCCAATAATATTTGTTAACATAATTTTTTTAAGAGGAAAATGTCGAGATGGAAAACTAAAATTAACAAATTTTTGCAATGATTTAAATGAGAAAATATTATATTTATAGAAAATTTTGTTTGGTGTTATTTTCTAATTAGAATTAGAAATTTATGCATATAATTAATATAAACCTCTAATTCTAATAAAATACATTATCAATTGAAATACTATACTTAAATTTTAAATGTAATTTAGTAGAATGAAAAAAAATATTATTTTGCTTAAAAAAAAGTTTGTATGACAAATATGTAGTTAGAACGGCCCGTTCCGAATTCAGAATGGTCCGTTCTGGTTTAACTAGTCATTTGTTATTTTTGAAACTGAAACGGGCCATTATGGTTTATTCGTTATGTTATTGTTTCATTTGGAACGACCCGTTCTGATTCAACTTCTCATGTCTTTGTTTTTAAATCTGGAACGGGCCGTTCTGGTGTATTTGTATGTGTTATTTTTTTCATCGGGAATGGGCCGTTCTGATTTTAGAACGGCCCGTTCTGATTTTAGAACGGCCCGTTCTGATGGTGAACACTGACGTGTGACAATTCAAATTTTTGGATAATTTAAAAAAAAATTAATTTAAGAAAAAATTTAGAAATTTAAATCTTGTATGATAGGGTGCATGATAACCAATACACTTAGATGCATCTAATGGTAATTTTTCATGGTGCACCCATACACCACTTATATAAGTGGTCCTTTAGAGAATTCACTATATATATATATATATATATATATATATGAGAATTGATCAAATGGTTTCAAGAGTAATTTATGATAAAGTTATTTCAATAAATAACTCATGTTATATGTTAAATTTTAACAATTCAATTATTAAACTAAAAGTACTTAATGTATAGATCAAATTTACAAATTTTTAAAAAAAATTTGAAAATCATATGATACTTCATTATGTAGATTATAATTAATGTATAAAATACTTTTATAATTATCCATCAATTTGAATTAACAAAATGAAGTATTAAATAATTTTTAATTTTTTAAAAATGTAAATTTGATCTATACATTAAGAAATTTTAATTTAACAATTGGATCATTGAAATTTAACATAAAATAAGAGTGAGTAATTTTATCATAAGTTATTGTGTGAGTCATTTGATCCCTTCTCTCTATATATAGGAGGGATTCACTAACTCCAAGAGTAAGTCTAATTAGACTTACTTTATTTAATAATCCATGTTCTACATTAAATTTTAACAATTCAACCATTGAATTAATTTTTTTTTAATGCATATATTAAGTCTATAAATTTTAAAAAAATTTAAAAATTATTTGATACTTTGTTTAATTAATTCAAATTGACATATAAAATATTTTCATGATTATTTATCAATTTGAATTAATAAAAGGAAGTATTAAATAAATTTTAAGTCTACTTAGACTTATTCTGCTCAACAACTCATGTTCTATATTAAATTTCAATGATTTAGCCATTGAATTTAAAGTTTTTAATGCATAGATCAAATCTGCAAATTTTTAAAAAATTTAAAAATTATTTGATACTTCGTTTCATTATTTCAAATTGATGGATAACATATTTTTATGATTATAGGTCAATTAACACTTATTATTCAAAATATACTTAGTTATAAACAATTGAATATCAACATGAAAAATAATTGAATATAATAAAAAATAATATTTTATTATGCTTTTAAAATTTATCTTGTATTTTAATTAATTATTATTAATAATATCAGTTTAATTATTGAACATTAAACTAATGTCTTGAGCAATTAAATATTAAATTTGGTTTTTAAAAACACTTTATTTTAAAAAGAAAAATTAAAAACTTTCTTCTTATATCTCAAACTTCACAAAGTAACATTTATCTCAATCATTTAAAATATAAATAAATTAGAAACTGGTGTTTTTCTTTTTAAATGAATAACTTCTTTACAAACTGATGCTATAATGTAGAGAGAACTACACGAGAAAGAATTTACGCCTAAAATTTTGGTACATGTACATAAGAATTTCCGCCACACAACACAACACAACATAATAAGGACTCAAAAAAATATCGTTCGTATATAAGAATTAAGACATTTCCGATCTTAACCCGACCGCTAAGTAAAGTATCGAAAAAAAAAAAAATATTGACACATAAAAAAGCTAGAAAAGAATAAGTAAAACTGACACCATCACTCAGTGCAAGAACAAAGAAAATCGCATAGGAAGAGCAGGAAAGAACACGTCGAAGCAGAAGAAGACATGGCGTTGCAGTGGTTGATTCTTACCTACGTTGTTGCAGCTGAGGCTGCCGTGGCCATTCTGCTGACCCTTCCCACACCCAAACTCCTGAGGAACCGCTTCGCCTCTCTCGTTTCACTCATTCTTCAACCCGCGCTTTTCATTGTCCCCTTTGCGGGGTTTCACCTTTTAGGTACTGTTTTTTTTTTTTAATCTCTTT